CCCTCCAGCCTCTGGCACCCCCACTCTTCCTCTGGCCCCCACCCCAGTTGCATCCAGCCCTGGCCTCCCTCCCAGCTCCCCCAGCCTGTCAGCCCCCCACTGCCCTCCCTGGTTGTAGCCAGACCTGGCCTCTTCATCCCCAGCTTATCTGCCCCCCAGCCTCTTGGCCCCCCTCCAGGCCACCTGAGTAGGGCCAGGGCTGACCTAGGGAGTGATGGGGGCAGCAGCTCCTTGCTGCGCTGGGGGCTCCGATGCTCCGGGACCCAGCGGGAGACCCAGTGAGAAAGCAAACTGGCAACCCCTAGGCTGCAGAAAGGCTTTCCAGAGTACTTACAACAGTGTAACAAGTTTCTCTCTCTAGATACTTGGATCATAATTGAAGCCTTTTCCCCAGTTTTTAGCTTTATACCTGCAAATTGTATTCACAAGGTAGGGTTCCTCCTCCTCCCCAATGTGAGGCTCCCAGCAGTTTATAAATGTTAACAAATCAGCATTTAAGCGGAAAACAAATGTTCCTTCCCTCCCCCCGCCCCCACTCTCAAAATCAGCAGGATAAAGTGCTGCTCTAATATAGACAACATATGTCAGATATGATCACAGAAAGTTTAAATTTACAAAGGAGGGCAACAGAAAGTTACATAAGAGCTACTATTTCTATTCAATATCCAAGTATTGTTAGAAAATACTGTAATTAAAGATACAGAAATATTTTAATCAAGGAGCTGAAGTATTAAAATTACTCACAGTTCATCCCATTTAATCAGATAGAAGAAATTTTTGTATGTGCCAACCTTCTTCGATTGAACAGGTTTAAACAGATCTTTTCCATTATGGGTCAGCGAGCAAACCAAGTAATATTTTTCATAGCTACAAAGAAAGAGTGAGTATGTTGAACCAGGAAGAACAAGACAGATAACGGATTTGTAAAAAGACATTTGTTTAATAAAATACTCACTTTGACACCCAACCAGCATGAATTCCATGAGCAGCAAATATTGTGAACTGCAGGTGCTCTGTAGCAGTCCATGCTTCCTTAATGCTTCTGGTTTTTGTTGCAGAATTACTGCTACTGCAGCCTGAGTTTAAGTGGAGGTGAAGAAGGGCATAGACTGCTGCTGTCAACTGGTCTATGCTCACTTGCACAGGGTTTTCAGGCTGCAATGAACCTAGATTATAATACAGCTTTAATGAGCATGTTCCTAAAACAACTATTTGAAAGCAATTCTGAAATAAGATTAAATGCTTGACTTACCAGCTGAACTGGTGCTTGTATCATCACCAGGCTTTAAGGACACCTGCACAGTAAATTATGGCAAATTTCAGAAAAACATTAACAGCTTACATCCAAATAACCTTCACTTGCCATTTCTCTCAATCCCATGCTTTGTCGTTTTAAGCACTAAGGCTACATCTACATTGGCCCCTATTACGGAATAGGCATGCAAATGTAGCACTTTGGAAGAGGCAAATCCGCGGGGGATTTAAATATCCCCCGCGGCATTTGCATTTTCATGGCCACCGCTTTTTTCCGGCTTGGAGATAAGCCGGAGAAAAGCGTCCAGACTGGCGCGATCCTCCGGAATAAAGCCCTATTCCGGAGGATCTCTTATTCCTACTTGCCAGTCTGGACGCTTTTCTCCGGCTTATCTCCAAGCCGGAAAAAAGCGGTGGCCATGAAAATGCAAATGCCGCGGGGGATATTTAAATCCCCCGCGGATTTGCCTCTTCCAAAGTGCTACATTTGCATGCCTATTCCGTAATAGGGGCCAATGTAGATGTAGCCTTAGTGCTTAAAACGACAAAGCATGGGATTGAGAGAAATGGCAAGTGAAGGTTATAACCACTGGGCCAGATTTTAGTTCTCATTTGAGACCCTTTGGCACTTCTCTAGCACAAAAATTCCGTAAAAGCGAACACGTGAATATTTGAGGACTCAATCAGTGGTCAAAACCAGAGCAAAACTGTTTTGACAAGCCATAGTCAATTAGCCATCACAGGACCGTTTGAAGTTGGAATAAATCCGTAGTGCTGAGGATACCCTAATTTACACCAAGGGACTATGCAAACACAACGGTAGTATACAGATCAGTTACACAGAGGAACAGACTGTTATAGTCAATATTCCACGTCTGAAATAGCAAAGACATTAGATATCAGAATTCATTTCTCAAACTATGCAACAAATGTAGTGAGTGCTAAGCATGAGCTTATACATCTAGGAAGCACTAGGGATGTTAACTATTGGTTATTTTACTAGTCGAGGAATTTCCATCGACTACTCAACTATTTGATAGGCACTTCCTCATTCCTCCTTTGAAATGTACAAGAGCCCTAGTCGGGCTCAAGAGGAATGTGGAACTCTGCCTGCAGCCCAGGGACAGCAGAGAAGTCCCACTGACTCTAGGCTGCATGCCATATGCCAGCTTTGAAATGTACAAGAGTCCCCTGCTGACCTCAGGCTCCATGCTGCTCTACATTTGAAATGCCATGCGGAGCCCGGGGTCAGCTGATCCTGGGTTCTGCAGAAATGGTGCGCAGAGCGCAGGATCAACAGTGGGGTGCTGCCCTTTGAACAGCCCCTCACCCTTTGAGAAATGCAGCAGCGCCGCACAGCTGATCCCGGGATCAGCTGTGCAGCACTACTGCTTTGAAGTATCCCCTTCCTGCCTCTATCTGATAGAGGCAGGGGGAAAAGGAGAGAGGAGAAGAGAGAGAGAGATTGACTAGTCGACTAGTCTTTAACATCCTTAGGAAGCACCAAACTTTTTTAAAGTGTATCCTGTCAGAGGTATCTTTACCATACAGCTAGTATCTACACCAGTGGTCTCCAACCTTTACACACCCCAGATCATTTTTTGAATTTAAGGGCAACTCAGTCTACCAGGCCCCTTCCCCAAAGCCCTACCCACTCATGTTCACTCTCCCCCACTCTCACTCACTATCACCTGGCTGGGGCAGGAGGGGGCTCAAGGCTGGGGTGCAAGGAGGAGGTTCAGGTTCCAAGAAAGATTTTGGGTATAAGAGGAGGTGGACTGTGGAAGTAAGTTTGCATACAGGAGGGGGGCTCCAGGTTGGGGCAAAGAGTTTAGGTGCAGGAGTAAGGAGTGCAGGCTCCGCAAGAGCGTTTGTCTCTGCCTGAAGCCCCCTTCTGCACCCACGCTCTCTCCAGAGCTTATACCCCTCAGTCAGGGTTTTAAGAAATTGCTCCAGCAAGCTTTAGAACATTGAGGGTTCCCCCTCTGTATGGGGCTCAGACATTTTTAATGAAGATTTTCTGCATTTCCATGCCAAATTTTACTTTTACTTTTCAGAAGCAGTCTGAAGGGGACTGTCTGTGACTCTCTGGGTAGGCTGGTATAGTGTCTGAGAAGTTTATATTTGGTAACTGGCTGGTAAAATCTAAGCATAGATCTCAACCAATTTGGTTTTTGTGCCCTGCTTCCCAACCATCTTCCTTGAGATTGGCCAACAGGCTCCTGAGTCACTGCAGGCAGCTTTACAAATACTACCATCAACACAATGTGAACCAAGGAAATTAGGACATAGTATGATATTAGCATGGTGGGACAACAGAGGGCACACCGCTCTGTAAAAGTATGATTTTTATATTTATGGAAGTGTTTTATTCTTTTCTGACAAAGGTTTCCTCTAATGAATATCACCTTTTGATATAGCTAAGTCAGACCTTGTGAAAAAGTTTACCATCTTCATTGAAACAAACTACGCAATTAAAGCAATTTTAGTATGAGAATTTGCCTAAAAACATAAGAATTCCCATACTAGGTCAGACCAATGGTTCACCTGGCCCAGTATCCTATCTTCCGACAGTGGCCAATGCCAGGTGCCTCAGAGGCAATGAACAGAACAGGTAATCATCAAGTGTTCCACCCTGTCACCCATACTCAGCTTCAGACAAACAGAGGCTAGGAACACCCTCCTTGCTCATCCTGGCTGATAGCCATTGATGGACTTATCACCCATGAATTTATTTAGCTCTTTTTTTGTGCCACGTTGAAGTCCTGGCCTATAGAGCATCCTCTGACAAGGCGTTCTATAGGCTGACTGTGTAACGTGTGAAAATACACAAATTAGCATAATTTAGGAGCACATTTGGATCTAGACTGAAGTCTCTGAATATTCAGATAAGACAGTTTAAGTGCAACAGGTAATTTACACATTACAGACAAAGACACTGATTATAGGCTTGTATGAAAGGAAGACAAGTTTCTATCACTGCAGTTCTTCGCAGAAGGGGCGTGAACTAACCATTAAAGTTTCAGTTGAATTTAGTGTGCCCACTGTCAGGGACAAGTCAACACAGCACAATCTCAGGTTAGTACATAATATGCGCACAATATGTAAAGTTACCAAAGCTTGAAGTAATTTCAAAAGCTTTTTAAAAGCCAAGGCTACTTAAATAGGAAAAGATTCCAAGAGTTTACCATCAATTAAATATTACTTTGAATAGACTGAAAAAAGAATTTTTAAAATCACACCTTTCACAATGTTGAGGCACCCCTTTAAACTTTGTTTTTAAAAAACAATTCTAATTGAAACCTCATTTATAAATATTTTTGAAATGATACTTTTATCAGTATTTAGTATAAAGCTACACAATGCCATTTACACAGTCTGTTCAAGTTCACATGATAAACATGCTTACCTCAGTGCTTTTATGCCTTGGAAGATTAACAGCCCTCCTTAGCTTCTTTACAGAGTCTGTTATTGCTTGAGTTTCTACTCCATCCAATGTGTAACAGATTTTTCTTACAACCTTGATTACTTGATCTACTGCTTTATGTTGGTTCTAGTGAGAGAAGTACACAAAGAAAGAAAGGAAGATTTTTTATTTTGTTTACAGAAATTGAGATTGCTGCAGTCCAAAAAAAGATTAGAGGGACGAGTCAAAGGACAACAGATAACTGAAGATTGCTGACACACACAGAGACAGCGTTATGGTAATGCAGGCAATGTTAATGGTGCGATTTCCCAACTTCAGGAGTTTTTCTACTTTGCAGCCCTAAGGGTCTTTTGATGTAGCTTTTTATACAGCACAGGGTATTAAGAATTCCTGACAAGATACTTCAATACCTCCTTGCTTCAGAATAATTGTATTTTTCAGGCTTGAGTCCTATTTTAAATCAAAGGATTTTTACATCAACAGAACATGGGAGGACAACATTAAATCTACAGTAAACTTCCGATAATCTGGCACCTTTAGGACCCAGGGGGTGCCAGATTATCAGATGTGCCGGACTATCAGAAGGGGGGGGGCTATGAGGGGTCTGGGGTGGGGGAGATGCCACAGTGTCCAGACCCCTCATAGTCCCACTTCCGCTAGTCCAGCCCT